AATCGTGTGGTGTGACCAGAAGTAGATTCCAGTCCAGACCAGCACTATCACTAAGGCCCCGTCCACACGCATCCGGAAATTTTTGTATCCGCAAATTATTTTTTGCGGATACGAAAATGTTTGCGTCCACACGCAGCGTATTCGAATCGTTTTCATCATGCACACCTATCCGTTTTCGTAAAATTTGTGGATACGGATACAAAAATTTGCGGACACGTGTGGACGCAACCCGTATCCGCAAAAAAAAAATTTGCGGATACAAAAATTTCCGGATACGTGTGAAAATATCAATTAAACAACATAATACTTATCCTCAGTTTCAAGCCGATGCCAGGTGGTGGGCGGACTTTGTCCCGCGGGGGGAAGTGGGCGGGGGGGTTGCATTTCAGGGTGTTAAGAATGAAATTTAGATTTTCAGCATATTTAAGTATCTTTTAGGTTATCTCTTAGGGGTTTAAATATCGTCCAACCACGCCCTGTTTAAAAGACTCTGTATCTTTTATGGGTATTTTTTTTGAAAATTTCCGACGAGCATCAGTTTMCCGCGGGGACTGTGTCTTGGAAGGTCATTTCCTGCGCTTTCGCAGCAATTGGCACACCACCTTTAAGGCTCCTTTTCACCATAAAACCTGAAATACAGGTTAACAGTCTAAGTAAGAATATCCTGAATTCTATATTTAACGTCGAGATCGATAATGATCGAATGGATTAAAAACGGATGTAATATTGGATTGAGAGGTTGACACAGGGTATTCGCCTGCAGCCGTTTAAAAGGTGGCTTTATTCAATCAAGATGAACTTGTCATTTGATATTTGCCTTTGCGCATTCTTCCTATTGAAAGCAAAATCAAAATGATTAATATATAACACCCAGCCGGTCGAAAAACTCGATTATAAGCTCTCGACAGTTGTAAGCTTTCTTAGCTCAGATAAGCCCACTAGTTAAACTTCGTCTGCTAACGCAAATGTCTTTCAAATGTAAAGTCTCCCGGTTATAAGCTAGCACCTCTGTATACTACTCCTCACATAAATTATTGCATGATTGGGAAATGAAACCAAGAAAGAAAGAAAAAGAAAGACAAGAAAAAAGTGACGATTTCTCTYTCATCTGATTAAAGGCATCCCCACCCCTCCCCGGCCCCGCCGCCGCAATTATAATTCAAAGCCCTTTAGGTTAAAATTTTTGCTGTCCTATAAGCAWAATAAATTGGTTTTATTGATAATCAAAAACTATAGTTTTGGGATCTTTTACATGATCACAAGGATAAGGGTAAGTGACCATACGAATCACAATCATGACCTTAGGGGGAGATGGAGAGTCCTTTTTTTGTTGTCCCAGCAGGAGATACCGCGTGAAGCCTTGGTTCTAGTGCAGTTAGTTGTGCAAGAAGAGCAGCTTTTCCTGAAACAAATTGTGAAGAATGACTTGATTTTTCTCTTATTTTCTCCTCAAAAAACACAATGTTATCAGAACTATACGAGCTGGACGCTTCCAATGGATGGGTTCCTCATTTCCAAGTAAGCAAATAATGACTTTACCTCGAGTTTTTGTTTTGTTTTGTCGAGGTTTTTTAATTCACTTTCCGTACGTTAGTTTTGAATCTTACGAAACGTGTTCTTGTCGACCTCTAAATTTTATCTTTGTCGGTTTTTATCAATGGCTTTCGTCTTATCTACTATCACAGAAAATAAACTGGATGGCCAAGGAAAATGCGAGTCCTCAGAAGATAGCAAAAGCAYCGGAAAACCGCCTCTTTAACAGATATCGAGACGTCTTGCCTTGTGAGTTGTCCTTTCTCTTCATCTTGTCTTCTTCAACTTCTTTTTTCTACGTGTAACCGTCTCTAAAACCACAAAATAAATACCTGTCTTCCCGCTTTCATTCCAGACGACCATAGCAGAGTAGTGCTGAAGGARGGAGAGACAGACTACATTAATGCTAATCTCGTCGAAGTAGGTTTACGATATAAAATTGCTTTTCCTRTATTCTACTTCAATATCTTCTTACTTTACTTTGTCCGCGGATAAATTTTAATTCTGCTATAAATTTACAACTAAATTTACTTCCTTAACTCCTGAGAGAACACARAAAGCAGAAAAGAATAAATATTTGACCCAATGTCCTAGAACTAAATTAATTTTGCAAATTTACTCCAGTAAATTAAGTTCGTATTAATATGAGCTTAAGCTAAACTTAAATTAATGGAAGAAAATGAGTCTATTGCCATAATTTTTGTTCACGATTTGAATTTATTCTACTCTTATTGTTAAAGTTATTTCCTTGAAATCTTTAAATAAACGATAGTTGACACTATCCCAATAAGGAATATTGATCCTGGAATTATGAAATATAATCGAACTACCTTCAGGATATTTATTTAAAGGGTGTGTGTGCATTTCTTAGTTTTATCTATAAATTAATTCTTAAAATCTTGATAAAATATATTGAACATTGTGGATACCAACAAGTGAGGAAAAAATTTTTCCCCCCCAAAACTTTAATTTTTGAAAATTGAAATAGTATAATAAATTTAAACCAYGCCAATAAATGCACCTCTGTTAAAAGAAAATGAAATAAATATAAAGATTTTATTAGATTAATTAAAGATTAAGTGAATATCGGGGAATATTTACTGAGGCGCGAGTCTTCAAGCGGTGAGGTAAATATTCCCCCATATTCACTGAGCCTGACGCAAATAATTGTTTTAGTATTTTTAACACAAGAGAATTTAATAAATAACGAAGAAAGGGTTTTTTTTTTCTTTTCAAATGTTATTTATCTCTTCAAGCTGCACAAATCRAGAACAAGCATGCTCGAGTTATATGCACCCTGAATATAACTTTCAAATATAGCAGCATAAGACATAATTTGTGACCAATAMGCACATCAGATTTATGATATTCACTTGTGTGAAAATACTAATATTTGAATATTCGTACAAGTATCTTCTGATTAATAAGGAGAAATACCTCTGAATTGAAGAAATCTTTCAATCTTAACACAYTTTTCATTTATACCCCAATAAATTTATTTTTCAAGAAGAGGGAGTAGACAGAGAAAAACACCTTTGCTAGAAGTGATTCCCAACTGAGTTAGATAAAAACAATTTATTTGTTAGCTTTTAATGAAAGACATCCTGCTCAGTGTTATTGAAGTGAAGCCGGTTCCATTAGAACATACTGACTGGAAGAAGGCTCCTGGTGGCTTGAGTATTTCTTTTCAATTCATATTTGAATTTTAGGAATTTTAGCTCTTCATTGACTTGCACAATTTAAGACTATGCATCTTACAGATTTCAAAATTATTTTTGAAGTAAGGCTAATAGAAARTTAAGAAATAATTAAAAGTGTCTTGCTGTCCTTACATTGCTTACAAATATTTTCCAGCTTACCCATAAATACTCTTTTCACAGCTTACCCATTAATATTCTTTTCACAGCTTAGTCTTATACTGATGATAAATTATCCAAAATGTTTAAAAGACTTGCGGTGGTTTTTCTTTTACTTCGTTTAGATCAATAAAATAGAGCTGTGAATTCATTCAAAATTTTACAAAGTCTATATGCCCTAGTCATCATGGTACTGTCTCAGAGAATTGCAATAGTTTTGCCAATGCATTTGCCTACTGAAGATAACTTTTAGCTTTCAAGTCTCAACTTTCAAGAAATTTATTGAATTAGTACAGGAAATCGCACGATCTCGAGTACAATTTGGAAATTAATAGACACAAGTAATGTTTTGAAAGTTCTTGTAATTGCACGAGCCTTTAGGCGAGTACAATTAAAGAACTTTCAAAACATTACGAGTGTCTATTAATTCCAAATTGTACGAGAAGATCGTGCGATTTTTTGTTTATAGTTCACTCAACAAAATTTCAGTAAAAAATGCGAAGCGACACCGTTCATCTTTGTCTATTTGGCGGCCGATTTTCAGTCCATCGCGAAACTGAAATACATAAAAAAGATTAGTTCTTATTAGTTTTTACGGCTCTTTTTGATTTATAAAAAATTTTTTTTGCAGTTGACATTGTTTTGGCTGTGTTTCCATAGCGACTTAATTCGGTACTCCTACAGAGTACAATTAACGCTATAATTGTACTCCTCTCGACCAATCAGAGTCGAGTAATTTTGTTGAGTGTACTATAAGACCAATAATGTGTAGTTCCAGAAAATATCCATACCCCACCCATGGAGGAAATTGGAACTTCTGGAGAAGAGGGGAGGAGGGCGAGAGAAAGATCAAAATTACAGAGTTTGTATGGAAGAAAATTGGAAGTTCATGGGGGTAAGGGGTCCTTTTACGAATTCCAGGGGGGGTATGGATATTTTCTGGAACTACACAATCTTTCATTCAAGTTGACCCCTTTGTTTTGAAGAGATAGAAAACGAGTGCGCGTGCTATGTTGAGTTTTACGAGCACGTGGGAAATTGCATGAGTCTGAGAGAAGTGCTAGGAGAAGCACAAGACGTAGGTGAGTGCTTTTCGGCACTTCTCGAAGGCTCACACAATTTCCCAAGTGCTTGTATAACTCAACGTAGCACAAGCAAGGGGAGTTTTCTATCTCTTTTATAAAATAACTAAGATATAACTAACGATTAACTCAAAAGAAATAATAAAACATCACTTGCGTTGCTGATGTCATTTCCTCATGATCTATGTTGAGTTATATAAAACAGTAATTGACCAATGCGTGTGTGTTATATCTTAGTTATTTTATAAAAGTCCATATAAGTCATAAATGAATGCTCACTGATAGGATTATGTTTTTTGTAATGTTCAGGTACCATCAGTGAATGAGAGATATATCCTGACCCAAGGACCTCTGAAGAATACATCATTACATTTTTGGCAGATGGTGTGGGAGCAAAATTCACAGGCCATTATTATGCTCAATAGAGTCATAGAAAAAAACCAGGTAACTATAACTCACTTTCTATGTGATTCTCCAAATTTAACTTTGAAGCAAAATCAAAAAATTGTTCTTGAGTGTCCAGCAATATTTGGCAGACACGAAAAGGTTTAGATAGAGTAAAGAATGCTTAATTGATTTTGTAGATATATTTTCTTTTTTTTTTCTTTTCTTTTCTTTTCTTTTCTTTTCTTTTNGTATGGTAGCCTTTTCTTAAGGGTAAAKGTGATGGGTGTGATGTCTTATTCATCTTTYGCTGTATTCTTTTGTGGTGAGCTGTAAATATCAATGGCTTTAACAAAGCTGTATTTGTTCCCTGGATACCCGACAATGCCTAGCGATCCAAGATGGCTGTCGTATAGTCAAATTAGACCATTGTTTACACTGCATAAGTTTATTYTCAAGCACTTGATTGTGAGGATATGAGTAGAAAAATCTATTGTTCCAATCAACCTGACTGCAGTTAATTTCAATATTCATAACTCTTGTTGGAGTGGGATAGAGGCTGACGGCGCAATAGTGCACCTGCCTCTCACCTCTGGAGTCTCAGGTTAAATCCTTAGACTTGGCATCACACGCGAGAAGATTTTATTAGGTCTCTCCCTTGATTTGAAGGTTTTTATCCACAGGTTCTGCAGTTTTACACACTAATTAATTCCATTGCTATCTTTGAGTTAGCCATGCCGAGACTGATCAGCTTAGAGGCTCAGTGTTTCAGGTTATTGATAATAGTTGAACATGTTTTGGGGGTCACTATTAGTCTTTTTTGATAGATTTATGAAGTAGCTGTGCATGTAGTTGTATTTACTTCATTTACTTTCAGATCAAATGCCATCAATATTGGCCTTGTGGAGAGAAAGTTGGCCACACGAACGTACTGGAATTTGGATGCTTTCGAATCACTTATATTGAAGAAACCATGAGTGAATTCTTTACTGTTAGGACCTTAGAGATTTTCAATATGAAGGTAAGGCTAGGTAGAAAAATATGACCAGTGTTAAATCTTTATTCTTAACGTACGAAACATATAATAAAAAAAAGTTTGAATTTGGTATTCTCATGATGTGGTAAATCATTGTATCCTCACTTGTTTTATCTGCCGCAGTCTTGGGCTTCAGCAGATAACCTAGTCTTGATAATTWACGATATCATGCTCAACTTCATCCAATAATTGTTTATTAACATTGAAGCAACATTAAAKGTCTCATGCATCTCAATCCTCCCTCTGCAAGATCACCTA